TATGGCTTAGTTGGTTGGAGCATCATCCCGCACACCAAAAGGTGGCAGGTTCGATTCCTGGTCAGGGCACATACCCAGATTGTGGGTTCCATCTCTGGTCTCTGGGGGTGTGCACGGGAGACAACTGATCAATGTTTCTCTCTTACATCAATGTTTCTCATGTTTCTCTTTCTGTCTTTATCCCTTTCTCTCTCTAATATCAATGGAAAATATATCCTTGGGTGAGGACTAAAAAAAAAAAAAGTTACCTGAGCAAAGGAAAAGACAATAGTATTCTTAGATGAGACAAATGATAAATACATAATTGAATCAGCTTCCTTTGTCATTCCCTATCAGATGTCTATAACATTGGTGCTTTAGTGTACAACTCTCCTCTTATACCAAACTCCACTGGAGTGAAGGTAAACTTTGAGCAAAGTATGTATTTCCTCTTAATATGGCAATTAAAAATTTTTACTTTGGTCTAAACACATGACATATTCCATCCATCTTGGGTCTTTTTTAAGTCCAAGCTTTAATCTAGCATGTAAACAAATATTTTTAATGATTGGGCCACTTTTAATGATGATTATAATTTTCCTAAGTAATTTTTTTCTTTCCTTACAATTTTATGTAGCATACCAAATTCATCTTCCTCAAAAAGAGCCTTTATTATCTTAACTGGAGGCCCAGTGCACGAAATTTGGGCACTTGGAAGCGGGGGCGGCCCTCAGCCCAGCCTGCACCCTCTCGTAGTCTGGGAGCCCTTGAGGGATGTCCAATTGATGGCTCAGGCTGGCTCACTGACCACCAGGGAGCAGCTCCTGCATTGAGCATCTGCCCCCTGATGGTCAGTGCATATCACAGCAACCAGGCATTCCACCGTTCGGTTGACTTGCATATTAGCCTTTTATCATATAGGATATTCTATGTTGCCTTGTCCCATTTCTCTTCAGATTGTCTTTACTTTCTGCCTCATGTCATCACACACCATTGAGCATCCTTGTCCATGTAGCAACGAATAAATTACATCATTAGCTGTGTTTATATGGACTATCAAACTCAGAGAATATATTACATCTCAGAAATTATATTAGGCAGTGATAATAATTACCACACAGCCCATTTATCCTCTGAACAGTTTTCAGTAGTTGACAGTTCTTTTATAATTATTTTTAACTGCAAGATTTTGTAGGAATGATTTAACCCAATGCATTTTAAATTTGCTAAATGCACTCCTCAGTTCTTAGTACTTTTAGCATGATTTTAATTCATTTTAAGTTTAAATAGCCAACTATTCTGATTGCAATGATAAAGTCCAGTTTGCCAATTTTAAACACAGTTCAGCAAATATTACTTTATCGCCTGAAAGGAGTCTGAGCTCTGTGCTATGTTTTAGGGTATAACAATAAATATAAAACAATTGCTTCCTTTAAGGATTCTTCTGTATTTTTTTTTCAGAATAAGCATGATTATTTTGTCCATTGTATAGTCAATAAATGCAACAGAAAATGTATCATGGTACTGTATTTTAATACATCTGTTATAATTGAGATTATCAAGGGCACCTGAGTTTTGTTGTTGATGTTGTTTTATTTTATTATTTCCTTTGCCTTCTTTCTTGGCCTTCTAAAATTGTGTGTTTTGTTTTTGTTTTATATAAACCTTTAAACCAATTACTGGTATATAATATATATTTATAGCCTAGGGTTGAGCAATCTGTTGCCCTTAAAATATGTGAAATTTGAGCACACCTTGTAAATAGCCAGCCATCTCCCCCTCATGGAATGGGAAGTATGAAGCCATAAAAACATGAATAAAGGCTAAATTGGTGAAAAAAATGTACATCTGTGGACCATATATAGATGGGTACTGTGAAGTTTATTGTGAGGCAAGAAGTAGGGAAAGATAAACTAGGAGGCAAAAAGAAAAATGGTGTATGCATTTTTGGTCATGCTTAGTGTGTCTAATATGTTATAGAGAAATCCAATGGAAGATGTATAAGTGTATAAACTCAGGAAAAGTTACAGATTGGGATGTGGCTATTGCGTCATCAGCCCCCAGTTGGTAGATAAAACTATGACAGAAAATATGATGCCTGAGGAAGAGCAAAGGAAAATGAGTCAGGGTCACAATTTGCTCCACAGGCATTTAAAGGCCTAGATTGGACCTGGAGCCCAGAGAAAAGAAGGAAGGTTAAGAGACAGCAGAACAGCAGGAATATGATGCCAAACACCTAAGGGCCTTAAGGGTTACAAAAAGGAAGACATTTTTGGCATATCAGATGCAGTAGCAAAGTCCAGAATGGAAATGGTTGATGTGTCTTTTTTAAATGGTAGTTAGAAACTACCATTTAAAAGTCAAATAATTGAGCAAGTTATCTTCTGATGAAGGACTGAGAATTGAAAAGAGCTGAGCATTTGATGAGGAATTCTGAAACATTAAACTATTAATAACATTTCTTCATGCACAAAAGTGTGCGTTCTTCGTCAGTTAAATCAGCTGAGTTTTGTTGTTGATGTTGTTTTATTTCCTTATTATTTCCTCTGCCTTCTACCTTCCTTCCCCTGGCTGCTGGCACCGGTTTTCCTCCGGCACCCAGGACCCAGGCCTTTGGTCTGGCCACAGCAGAGAAGCCAAGCCTCTTCAGTCCTCAGTCTTCACTCCAGCCAGAGCCTTCTGTCTTCCCTCCGCAAATTAACCGCCATTTTTGTTGGGTTAATTTGCATAGTCACTCTGATTGGCTGGTGAGCATAGCGGAGTGACATCAATTTGCATGTTTCTCTTTTATTAGTGTAGAATATATATATATTGCCTAGGGTTGAGCAATCTGTTGCCCTTAAAATATGTGAAAAATCACAAAGAAAACTAAATACTTAAACTATGTCCAGATATAAAAATTTAAAGTTAAAAATCTGGGTTTCATGCATGAAAAGAGAGGTTTGTATATATAATTTTCTTTCAGACAAATATAGACACAGTTTGTAGTCACCTTTTTTGTCTAAAAACATGAAAAGTTGATCTTTATGATATCTTCCACTTAGCAGGCACCTTGCCTCTGTATCACAAGCGGAATTGGATTTTTTATATTTCCCGAAACTCTTGCTGTACACTGACATGGTCCAGTACCTCCAGTAACGCTTCAGATAATGTGACACACACTGAGCTTTGCGGTCACTGAGATCACTGAGGTTACAGTTTCAGATGTGTTGCTATCAATTGTCTGATATGTGCACTGACCTTAAAACCTAGCAATTTTTCTAACATAAGACAGATTTAAGTGTTCATGGTGAATAGAAAATATGAAACACTGTTATTTTCTAAACATTTGAAAATACTTGTTGTGTGATATTAAGTCCTCTGCAGTGCTGAGATTTCCTTTTATGTTCAAACTTGCCCCTGATGTTTCTAGAACAAGAGAGTACTCAAGCGAAATAAGTTCATCTGTGAAGGAAAATTTGAGGTGCATAATCTTTTTCCAAAATATCTATTCTTGAGCCTATTTCCTTTTCAGTATCAAAAATTTTTCTTTTCCTTCAAATAAATCTGAATCTTCCATATATTCAATGTGGTCAAATTTTCTTCATAAGGAAGCTAAGAAGAATGGAAGAAATAAAGGAAATTCATATAGGAACTGCTTACTCTCAGTTGATGGTCTGGCCTATTTTATTAATTGGCTGAATGACTGAGATGATAGGCACTTTAAAGTTCATCAACTGAATAAATGTATTAAATATTTATTCACATAAGTATAAACTTGAGCTACTTTTTATTGTCCTCTGACAGCAAGCCATAAATATCTTCAATTATAGCACAACATGTACCATTTTAATAATAAGTTTTCATCAGCATATTATGAGTTATTTGAAGGTAAGAACTATCATAATATCCACCAGGGTGTCTGACAATTGCTTACTGTATGTTTCTAGGATGAATAATTAAAGATTCTAAATAGATGACATCACTAGATGTAAGCATATAGTCTTTTGTATGAAAAACTAATGATCAATGTTTTCATTTAGAGATCAATATTACATGGCTTACCTAAGGTTATAGCCTTTATAAGAATGGAGTTCAGGAGCTGGCTGGTGTGGCTCAGTTGGTTGGACCATGCACTAAAGTTTGTTGGGTTTGATTCCTAAGGGCATAGTTTTATATCTTTAATGTGTATTACTTTGAAGCTGTGAAGAATTATCATTAGACTTCATATCAGTTCAAGTGACATTCAATTATGTGACTTGCTTTGAAAATCCTGTCAATTCACTTTTCTTAGTTCCTTTTAGGTGAAACCATTATACCTTCAATTATTATAACCAGCATTTATGAAGCACAAAGTACATAGTAGGTGCCATGTTAAATCCAAGAGAATACAGCAAAATCTCCTCCTGCTAAGGGGCTTGGAGTCTGAAGAAACAGACAGGCATGTAAACTGCTCTTATATGAGGTGCTCAGTATTACTATAGGAATAAAAGGGGTCTCAGTGGCATAACACAGGGGGTGTCCAACCAGGAACTTGGATGATAAAGAGAAAGGCAAGACAAGGGTAGAGAGAGGAGTTGTTTCCTTGAGTCTTGAGGTTGAGGAGACCAGCAGAAGCACAAGAGAGAATGGTCAGTGTAGGTAAAGGAAACAGCATATGAACACATGGGAAAATAAAGAACAAATGACATATTTGTGAAACCTTCTATTGCAGGTGCTTATGAGAAGAGTTGCAAAAAATGAGAATTAAAAACTAAGTTGGTACCAAAAAACAAAAGATTTGTAATCCCTTGATTAGAAGTTTGGGTTTATATAATAGCTAATGGTCAGCCTTTGACTAAAGAATATTTTGAAATTACCATCTATATAACATGCTGAACAATGGAGGTAGGACTGAGAGAGGGGAAGTTGTGTAGACATCTACCTTGGACAACTATTAAAATCACTAACTTATTTAATGGTGTGAAATCTATAAAATGATTAAAATGAGTAATCAAATGCAATGAAATCATCACAAAATAACACCTTTGTTTTTACCCCAGTGGGAGAGACTTCTGAAATTTGCCCAGAAGCCACTGATTTTTTGTGCCACAACAAGAAGTGTATTGCATCCCACCTTGTCTGCGACTATAAACCAGACTGCTCTGATAGGTCTGATGAAGCTCACTGTGGTAAGTATATTTGTCTGTTCTAATGCTGCCCGCTCAGCACAGACTTTCACTTTATTAGTAGAGAAACTTATTGGCACTGCTGAGAAGAAATGTTCTTTTCATGCACTATGGTAGATTTAGAATAGCCAGAACATTTTTTTTAACTTCTTTATGAAAATATCCAGATGGCAGTCCTCTCTCATTCTTTTTACTCCTATATTAAAAACTGCAATAAATCTATAGCAAATCATGTTACGAAACTTTCCCATCATGTCACTGTGTAGAACTGTGAGTGTAGCCAACACCACCAGCCATCTCCAGAAAGTTTTTATCTTGAAAAAGTATATCTCAGTACCCATTAAACAATAACTCTCCATTTTCCCCACATCCCAGTTCCAAGCAACCATCATTATACTTTTTGTTTTTATGCATTTGACAACTCTAGGTACCTCATATAAGTGGAATCATACATAATTTGTTTTTAGTGAATGGCTCATTTCACATAGTATAATGTCCTCAACATTCATCCATATTTTAGTTTTAAATCAAAGTATAAAAGGAAGTGAAAGTAATTGACATTGTTTAAACTATACTGTGAATACTACACATTGTATTCTTAAGTTAAAAATAATTATACATTTTCTTTAATATATGTATTTTCAAATGAAATTGATAATACATTAAATAATACTTTCTAATGTTATTTCTAACTTATTTTAAGTGCATCAGACCAGGTATCAAACCTGCAACCTGGGTATGTGCCCTGACTTGGAAGTGAACCTGCCATCTTTTGATTTATGGTACAACACTCCAACCAATTGAGTCACACTGGCCAGGGACAAAAATACATTTTTTATACTTACTGTAAGAAATTGATTTCAATGGAATTCTAAAATACTTGTAAAATCACCATTTTCCCCACAAGACATAACAAATAGAACATTTAATAACCACCAGTAAAACATTAAAAACTAAGCCAAATTTATAAAGGTTCTAAAGGAAAAAATAATTGAAGTTTGATGGCATAGATACATATATTCAGTGGAGAAAGGACGACTGTCACAGGCACATAGAAAAGTTACTGCCGATAGTAAAATTATCTTCCTCTCATTTAAGATGTATGTATATTAAAATATTTATATAAAAGTATATTCTTTCATTTATTCCTATTCTTAATATGGGCTAGGAACAACTTTCTGAACATTAGATATATAAAAATGAACAAGACATTGTTTTAGGCTTCAAAAACTTACTTTGTACTGTGTGTGTGGGGGGATACTATGAAGAAAATTGTATTTAAATCTAATGTGTTTTTTCTCTCTTTTTAAAGAAGTTGTTAGTAAATGAGAGGTTTCCTGTTTAATTGTAAAGTCTAACAAGTTCTAGCAAGAATAAGATTATCACAGCTTATTCAGAGAGTACAAATGAAGAATAGCATGTGTGTGCGTGTGTGTGTGTGTGTGTGTGTGTACACCTGTATGTGCAATATAGAAACAGGCTTACAAAATGCTGGGGAGAGTTATGGGTAATTTGGGTTTTCAAATGTGAATGCTGCCCATGTTCTTCTGGCTTCACTCATTTTTCCTCTCAGACTGCCTTATATGCTTTTTTTGCCCCTCACAGTTATTGATGTGAAAACACACACAGGCAGTTTTGATTTTCTGAAACTGAAGTAAATTACATACTTATATCTGTTAGTGTTACCCACAACTTTGATGGACAACTTCAAGAAATAGTTGAATTTATTAATATAAAAGTAATATATTGACAAATTAAATAGCCACTTTTCTTACAGTCTTTTGATACACTTTGTTCATATCCACAAACAACACTACACAGCATACAAAAATATACAAGTGACTTAGTTCTGCAAATTGACTTCATTAATATTTTCTATTGATGGTCTTTTAGATATATTCTCCAATGTAAATCATCAGGGCTACATTCCTGAAGTCAGATAATCTATGTGCATAATGGAATAAATTGCACATTTTTAAAATGACCTTTGGAGAAATATAAGAAAGAGTTGACCTTTGGCTTATTAAACTGGAGTCCTCATTTTGACTTTGACCCTCACTTGTTGGGCAATTATTTAAATTCTCAGTGACTCACTTTTCTCATCTGTTTAGTAGATATAATAACATCCATCCTATTGAGTGCTTTGAGAATTAAATGAAATAATGTAAAGAATGTCTCTGCTCAGTATCCTAGAATTAATGATGTTAGCTTTTTCCATATCATCTTTATTACATTCTCTGGAGATTTGTCAATCATGTCTTATATGCATGGCCTGTATACTTATCAGAAAGTAAATGCAGTTATTCCTCATAAGATGTATCATAAAATGAAATTTTCTTTTGCATCTTTACCTTCTGTTGCAAAATGTATGGTTACTAATAAGTGAGATTGATTCTAAAAACAAACAAGCAAACAAAAAACACAACAGTTAAATCCGAAAATGTGCTCTCTTCTTTCATGGAAGGAAATTATTACCTAAAGTATGTGTCACGTGCACCTTGTGTTCTCAGCTGGGGATAGCCAGCTTGCTGGTGGACACTTTCTCTCCTGCCTCTTACACAGACAAACATTCTCTTTCCCAATCTACCCAGATTCTTAAATATCCTTCTCAATGCAGCAAAGACACCATTTTACCATGAAGATAAACAATTTAATATTCCTGCATTATGCACTATGGTATGGCAAAATAAGGTAGATATGTAGATGTAAGGAATTAAAAATAATTATGGTGCTATCTCTTAAAAATATGTTAACTGATCAATATGTACACTGACCATACAACCATATTATTCCACTGGGAAAATGCCAATTATTTAAAAGAATGTTAATAATGCTTTGAATCCTTCAAGGGGTCATGGTAAAGATCACACACAATTTAGAAAATAGTTGTTCTAAAGCAATAGCTATTTTGAAAATACAGATGATACCTATACCTCATCAAGAAACATTGCAAAGTCTTCATATCATTCAATAATTATATGTAGGGGAACACTTCAATATACATGATGTAATTCACTAAAAATTACTGATCACATGGAAATGTTTTAGTAATACATAGTAAACAACAAGTAAGATGACAATATAAAATAAAGAGGTAATGAATTTCCAAATCAGTGGTACCAACTATAATGCCATAAAACCCACACATGCCCCGAGAACTGGCATGGTCTTCAAAGGGAGAGATGGTATAGATGTTGGACATTCAAGGAAGAGTATGATTTGCTAGATAGAATGAAGAAGAGGAGATAAAGATACTTGTAACAGAAATTCCAACCTTAAGCAGTTTAGATGGACAGTAGTCCCTGCTAGTTGCTTTTCACTTCTTTTTATTGCTTAAAAACAGAACTCCAACTTTATTTGGGGAAGCACTGTGACCAGCTGCAAATATCATCATCTCCAATCTTCCTTATAGCCACCAGAGGCCAATGAATACACATGGGAATTTTGGGAAGGTGTCTCTTTCAGAGAGAAAAAGTGCTTTCCTCTCTTTGTCTCCTTCAATGCTTGAATATTTGTGACCCATGGAAGTACAGCCGTTGTCTTGCAACCATGCATGAGCATGGGGATGACAAGGTGACAGCATTGAAAGGTGGGAAATGCGTGCTTCACACTGCACACAGGGCACGGCTGAACCACAATGCCAACCTTAAACTGACAACTTCCCAACGTACTGTTAATTGAGATAAATTAATTCCTGTCTGTTTGAGTTACAATTATTTGGTATTCAGTAAAGCCTGCTCCTCCCCATCAAATTCTGCAGCCCTGAGTACCTCATTTTTGCAATGATATCCTGAGAAAGGACAAATAGATTTTCTTCTTTTGATTTATTTTTTTAAAGAAAAACTTTTCCTAGGTGCCTTTTCTCCAATAAGTTTCATTGTCTAGAATTGCATCTCACATTGATGCCTAAAATAACTAAAAAGAGGAACATGGCATCACAATTGCTGAGATAAACCATCAGTCACCCCTGGAGCTGATAAGGGGCTGTTTCACCCATAAAACACATACCTGAGTGAAAGAAGGTTTATACCTGGAGAAAACTGCAGTTCTCTCCTGAACAAGAGAGGGGAGGGATGACTGAAAAATGAGCACCCAAATGCTAGAGAAAACATTTTTAAAAGTGAGTAGTTTTAACCATAAACGTTGAAAAAAATCTGTTTTTATTCAAGAGATAATTTTCTGAAAATTCGGTTGGCAGGCAATTTTAAATATGAGACAGATTTCAGCCTAAAATACACTTTGAGTTGCAGAAAGGTTACTGTATTCAAGGCTCAAGATTGTGGAGAGTATCTTCAGACAATGTGAAAACTTGCATATTTTTAGCAAGAGAAACAACACATAAGAACATTCTTAAAGGTGATTAGTGTGGTTTGCATTTATAATGTTGATAGATTGAAGGCTACGTTCAAAAAAAAAAGATACTCCATTAAATCAGGTGGTTGAACCAATGGAACTGGAACGGGGACTATAGAACTGTAAGGAAGGAAATTAAAAAATACATTTACAAAGGGAGAGTGTACAGGTATTAGTGATAGATTGGATATGAAAATGAAGAATGCAGAATCAAAGATAACTTCAAAGTTTGAATCTTTAGGAAGACAGAAGATTCATTCTATGAAATTAGTCAATAATCTTAAAAAGAAGAACCCAATTTGAGAAGTGAATGATGAGTTTGTTTTAGGCTTGTTTGGTTTCGAAGTAATGGTTGCGTATTCCAAGTGAAATGTTCAAAAAGCATTTGAAGATAAACGCCTGCATTTCATCATGGCTATGGATTTATTTGTAAGCCATCTGCATAAAAGTGTGAAGGGCCCCGGGTCTGGATGAATGAAGATATACAGAGTGAGAAATTTAAGTAAATAAATCCATATTTTTTAAATCAAGAGGGACACCGTGACTATGTCTGCAAGTTATGGAAAGTAATTAGTAGAGAATGTGAGATTGGAGAATGTGGAAAAATTGTGTAACTTTGAAATAAATGAGGCTGTGGAATGCTAAAAATAGTGTTGCTAAGGAGTAGAGATCATAAACTGAGATTAGAGCTAGAAAGGAAAAGTTTCAAAACTTGAGGTAAAGAGAATGAAATATAAGAGAATTGATCCTGATTGCATACATATTCTTAGAGTCAAAGATAAAGGTCATATATTAAATAAATTGGAGCTAGAAGGACAGAGTGGTCACAGAGAATGGAAAAGGATGTAGGATGTTTATTGTCAGGCCTATGTGTTGGGGAGTCAGTTACACAGAAATACAACAGTACAGAGCCTGGATGTGACATTATTCTGAAGAACCCACAATGGCTGTCTTGTACGTACATTGATAGATTCTGCATTTTTGCAGTTGTGCTGGTTAAACACCTGGAGAACCGAATCTCTCACTTTTATCCACATTGTTTGCATAATATAAACCTATCTATGACATGGGTTTGGTACAAAAAAGCATAAAGATATACAGGGACAATAAAGGAACACATAAAAATCAATTAATTATAAATTATGTAGAATGAATGAAAAAATGTACATAATTTAAAGTGATTTTACTTTTGGAGATAAAATACAATCATGCCTGAGAAGTGAAATGCTGATACTTTATGAAAATTCTCTCAGAGATCCAAAAAATTTTCTATAAAAATATGAAAGCTATTTTTGCTATATATTTGGTGTCCATTTTAACAGCAAGTTTTTCTTCTGATGAAGTTTCTATATGCTAGTATTAGTTTGATGTTAAGAAAAATTTATAAACAAGAAACTACTTGATAAAATGTTAAAAATAATGTAAACTTCATCTTTCTATAAAAAAAAAAATCCAGGAAAAAAAGGACAGGAAAAGTCAATGACAATCTCAGTTGATTCCTACTGATTCAATCACCCAATATTCATTCTGCCTGTACAACACAATTTTTACAGTGAATGCTCAAATACAATAACTGCTATGCAAAGAAAGAAAATGAAAAATGAAAGCAGATATCAGGGTGTTATGATGGCACTTTTCAGAGGACTAGTTATTATCTCAACTAGTTATTATCACAACACAGTTATTATCTAGTAACTTATATTGTGAATAACTTAATTTTTAATGAGTTATCAATCAACACTTTTAGTAGAGAACATCTTTCACTATTTACTGACTAGTTCTGAAATGTTGTACACGGGTAATTGTATCATATGACAAAAGGGTGTGTGTCCACACAGTTTACTGTTTCACCCAAAGGCACCTTTCTTTTTGTAAATGAGTTTGCCTCTCTAGCAGTCTATGCTGTTCAAACACCACAGTACACAGAGCAATGGCATTAATATCCAGACAACTGAAGCTGTTGATTTATTTGATTCGATAGGTATTATAATGTTATGTTCATTGTTTATGTGTAGACAGTTTTATCATCTATCAGTATTATTAGTCAATCCATGTGGCTTCTTAATGGATAAATGACAATATTCATGCACTGCTTCTAGACCCTGGGCTAAAAAAGCTGGTTACAACTGATATTATCAATGGGTGCAAATGTCCTGGTTCTATACGTTTATTTATAAAGAATTTGAATATATAGATGCTAATTAAAATCATCACTAATGTAGTAAAGTATCAAGTGCAATATGGATTTTCAGAACATTTCATTACAATTTTTGTTTCCTTAGGCCAGTACACAACCACAACAGGAAGCTGTAATTTTGAAACAACTTCCGGAAATTGGACCACAGCCTGCAGTCTTACTCAAGACTCTGAAGATGACTTGGACTGGGCCATTGGCAACAGAATTCCTGATGAAGCACCGAGTACAGACTCTGACCATACACCAGGTAACCCTACTAGAGATACACAGGCCAAGTGATCAACTCCTGGAAACCTGCTTTATCTATTTGATTGAATGCTGAAGTATGTCTGTTATGTCTGCAGGTGGTGGGGTGGGGGTTAGAAAGCAATAGGGATTATGAAAAGAAAGTTAGTACTTTCTGTTTAACCCCTGAATTACTGAATAGACTCAGAACTGACATTGCTACAACAAGGAAATCCATGACTTATATTTTAAGAGAGTCACAGAATGTTTTCCCTCTACCCTAAACGTGTCCCTTAAATCAACAATCAGAGCAGTGACAAGTAGGGGGCAATCAGATTGATGCATGCAATCGGCAAAGGTTTACAATTAGCAATGATAAGAGTTCTCACAATACACAATGGCCAGTAGCTGGCCACCAATTTTACTCTAGTCCCTCTGAAGTTCCAGGACAGAGATGTAAAGGTAAGTTGGTGATGGAGGAATGAGCATCTACAAAGTCTTGACAGACTTTACTTTGTGTCCTGTGATTTTAGGTAAATGTAACCTTTAATGGTTTTACAATTAGTAGAGTCAGAGTATAAGCAGGCTAGTAACCATATTTACTTTGAGCCTGAAGTCTTGCTTACTCAGCACTTTTCTTCTTTTAAGAATTAACTTTCCCTAGGGATAAAAAAAATAACTTTTTTATAGATGTTTTCTTAGAAATAAAAAATAACATGAGAAATTTGTGATAGTTAATTTTATGTAGCAACTTAAAGGATGTTGTTGGACAAGGTCAACATTTTTTTTACATTCAATATTATTTTGATTTAGTTTCATGTGTACTACACAATGTGTTCCCCCTGATATTTCCAGCACAAAATTGGCAACGTATATAATCATTACTGCATTATTGACATTTTCTGTGCTGTACTTTGTGTCCTTTAGCTATTTTGTAACTATCAATATGTACTTCTCAATCCCCTCATCTTTTTCACCCAGTCCCTCAATTCCTCTCCCATCTGGCAACCATCAGTCTGTTTTCTGTATTTATGATTCAGTTTCTGTTTTGTTTATTTGTTTAGATTTTCCTCCAGATTCTACATATGGTATTTGTTTTTCTCTGACTGACTTAGCATAATATTTCACTTAGCATAATACCCTCTAGGATCATCCATGCTGTTGCAAATGGTAAGATTTTGGTCTTTCTTATGGTGGAGTAATATTCCATTGTATGTATGTAACTCAGCTTTTTATCCACTCATCTATTGATGGGCACTTGGATTGCTTCCATAGCTTGGCTATTGTAAATAACACTGCAATGAACATAGGATAGGGGTTCATCTATTCTTTTGAATTAGTGTTTTGGGTTTCTTTTGATATATATATATATCTCCAAAAGTGGAATCACTGGGGGATCAGCAGTTCCATTTTTAATTTTTTTAGTAACCTCTATACTGTTTTCCATAGTGGCTGCACCAACCTACTTCCCCCCAACAGTGTATAATTGTTCCCTTTTCTCCACATCTTCACCATCACTTCTTGTTTGTTGATTTATTGATGATAGCCATTCTGATAGGTGTGAGGTGATATCTCCTTGTGGTTTTAATTTGCATTTCTCTGATGATTAGTGATGTTGAGCATCTTTCCATATGTCTATTGACTATCTATATGTCCTGAGATTAACATTTAAATCAGTAAACTTCAAGCAGATTGCCTGCCCTCCATAATATGGGTGGTCCTCATCCAATCAATTGATGGCCTAATAGAACAAAACATGGGCTATACAAGCAAAAGTTAATTTCACCAACAGACTGCCTTTGGACTTCATCTGCACCATTGGCTCTCCTGCGGCTCCAGCCTGCTAGCCCACACTGGACAGTTAAGGCTTACCAGCATCATAATCATATGATCCATTTACTTATAATAAATACTAGAGTCCCGGTGCATGAAATTCGTGCACGGGTGTGGTCCCTAGGCCTGGCCTGTGATCAGGGCCATCTTCCCCGGCTGCAGGCAGCCGGCCCCACACCCCGCCACCAACCCCCCTACCCCCAGTTCCCCGTTTGCCATCGGGCAATCGGAGCCTACCAGCCAGGGGCGGGGGGTGGGGAGGGACCAAGAGGTGGTCAGTGCACCTCATAACGACTGGTCGAGTAGTCATTCTGGTTGCTTTGCTGTTTGGTCATTTGCATATTACTTTTATATATATAGATATTTCTATATTTCTACATGTTTATTCTATTAGTTCTACTTTTCTGGAGAAACCTAACAAATAAAATATTACTCAAAAGGATGGAAACATAAGCACAATGAAAAAGAGCAAGATTATATGAATTGAAATAACTTTTCATAGAAAAAATATATGAGGTTGGCCCAGACATTTTATGACTAGTGAGACGAGAACAATAGTTTAATTGTTTTTATATTTCAGGCAGATTGACAGTGACATGATGTTCAGTTACAACGTGTGTACTCATTCTTATTTTAAAGTTCCGTAATTCATCTGCAAATTAAATATGTTTATTTCTCTTGACCTTCCAGGTTATTCCTCTTCCTTTTACCAAGTTGTTTTTTTCTTTAAAAATATGAAGTTAATATACACCAGATTATATGTTAAAAGAACAGAAAAGAGAATCAAGACACTGAGGTCAATAATTAGGAGGATTTAATATATAACAAAAGTTAATCCAATTAAAAAGATATATTATTTAATATGGTGCTGGTATATCTGGTTATTCACCTGGAAATAAATGAAATTAAACCCATTTTTCTTCTGCATATTTCATATACATAAATATAGTCCAGATTGATTAAGAACTTAAATGTAACAAATAATAAAAATAAAATTCTTGCAAGAAAACAGAGGGTAAGCAATGTGCAATTTAAAGACAGGATCTAACTTCCAAAATTTCAGAAGCTACAAAAGAAAAGATGTACATATTTCATTATGTGAAATTTTAACTGTGGTCTAAAATTTTCATAAATAAAATCAATAGGCACATAATAGGTTAGAAAATTTTTCCTTACAGATTACAAGTAAGATTATATCTATGTCATCTGTATCTATATCTATATCTATATCATCTATATCTATAGCTAATCTATATCTAACTTTTACAAACTTATTATAAATGAAAATTTTAACTACTAGAAAACATTTGCAGAACCAATTCACAGATGATAACATTAATATAATCAACAAATATATTCAATGATGCTCAAGTTCACAAGTCATCAGAAAAATGCAAATTAAATAATAAAGAGATGGAAAAATATTTTCAAAAACAACCTATAGAAGGCTGAGAGAAAGAGTGAAGAAGCAGGGGAAGAATACTGAAACATGGTTATGGGAAATGTTCATGGTTTGGAAAATGTTCTGACCATCTGCATTATAAAAGGCAGGGGCCGTCACAACCTAAACAACCTGACAGACAACTGGTCACCAGGAAGTGCATGCAGCACCTCTCGGTCCCTCCCCCATGGTCCACAGGCTCCTGTCACAGCAAAGCTGGTGGCCAGCGGGTGGGATGGGCAGGGCGAGGCAGGTGCAGCGAGGTCATTAGCCTCTGGCCCAGGGCCAGGCCGGAGGCCTAATGACCTCACAGCTTCTGTGGCAGCTGTGGATCAGTCCCAGAGATAGGCCCGGAGATGCTGACTGTCATAGAAAATGACCAATCAGAACCATATCTGGGTGAACTGCAAGGAGTCAATGGCTGCCAAGGATGTGGAGCTTTTGATGCTGACTGGCATAGAAACTGACCAATCAGAACCAAAGCTGGGTGAATTGAAAAGGCAGAACCTAAGGTGGGGTCTGAGGAGGGGTTTTAAGGGCAACAGCTGTTTGGTGTTAGAAAGTGGTTCAATTTTTTAATGACCGGTTTGGCAGTATAGTGCATATGGCTGGCTATCAGTCCAGATATAGGGATTATGTATTTTTGTCTGTCAAGAGCATCTCCTCCTACTAAAAAAGGTTTACCCCCCCCCCTTAAGCAATCCTATCCTATATAATATATCTTCTATACTAAAAGAGTAATATGCTAATTATACTAGGTCGACCAGCCATCTTCCAGATATCTGACTTCCTTCTGGACAAAGCCATGGTGGTGGGGACAGAGGCAGAGGCAGTTAGGGGCAGTCAGGCCAGCAGGGGAGGACAGTTGGGGCTGAGATCAGGCCGGCAGGGGGTTAGGGGTAATCAGGCTGGCAGGGGAGGGCCATTGGGGCCAACTAGGCTGGCAGGGGAGGGCCATTGGGGGCGATCAGGCCAGCAGGGGAGGGCAGTTAGGGGTGATCAAGCAGGCAGGCAGAGGTGGTTAAGGGCAATCACCTGCTGATTGGAGAGGGTGTAGCTGTGCTAAGGAACCCCTTCCCCCCCCCCCCCCCGCACGAATTTTGTGCACCAGGCCTCTAGTCTATAATAATAAAAGCGTAACATGCTAATTAGACCAAACAGAGGAACAACCTTCCAGACATTATTCTGGACGTCCTTCCAGATGAAGCCACGGCAGCCGGGTCCGAGGCAGAGGTGGTTAGGGGTGATCAGGCAGGCAGGCAGGCGAGTGGTTAGGAGCCAGTGGTCCTGGAATATGAGAGGGATGTCTGACTGCTGGTTTCTGGCCTAAATTGGCAGTCGGACATCCCCCAAGGGGTCCTGGATTGCGAGAGGGTGCAGGCCGGGCTAAGGGACCACCACCCTCCCATGCATGAATTTCATGCACCGGGCCTCTAGTATGGAAATAAAAAGACCAATACAGAAACATATGTGTATAGGGAATCTTACTTCAGCATTATTTGTGGTTGAAAAAAAGGAAATAAAATGAATTTCCATTGTTCTTACACTCAGTTATTTGTTCCTTGTTGCTTTATTGGTCTATTGAATGCCTGGCACTGTTTAGTCCTGGGAATACATTAGTGAATAAAACATAAAAATTGCTACTGAAGTGGAGTTCACTTTCTACAAGGAGAGTCAAGATAATGAACAAACAGTTCTGATTGTATGGACTGTTAGAAGTTGAGGAGAAAGAAAGAATGAAGTAGGAC